CATTATAATATAATCTTAGAAATATAAAAAATTAAAGCCTTTGGAAAGCGTTCCTCGATAAACACAGAGCAGGACTTGGCATAAACTTAATTCTATAATTATTATATAGTCAATACATACAATGATTATGGGGCCCGCAGTTGCAGATGATTTGTCTCCGACAGTAACCAGTTTATGTAATAAAATATATATGAAGAAGAAAAATAGTGAATATAACATATATAAATAAACACATAAAATAAAAAAAATTCATCTAATTATTTAAAATACTTTTTTTTATCAAAATATGTGCTTAAGTTTATTTTGTAAATAAGAATCTGAAGTATTTTTAATCAGATAGGTACATAAAATATTCAGTTTTTTAATCTAAGTTCTAAAAAAAAGTTAACATGTAATATTAATTAAATAATTTTTAGGTACTTAAATGAAACAAATTGAAAATTTTGGGTATCTAGTTTGACCAAAAAATATTTTAGGTACCTATTTTGATCAAAAAGATATGTTTAGACGCTTATTTTGACAAAAAAATACTTTAGGTATTTGAATGAAAAATGTGATATACTTTGGGGGCTTATATAACAAATAAACATCTAAAGTATAATATCTTTTTCATTTAATTATCTAGATTATTTTTTATCAAAATAATTACCTAAAGTTATAATTTTAATCAAAATAGGCACTTAAAGAATTTTTTTGTCAAAACAAGTACTTAAAGTATTCAATTTTTTCATTTAAATACCTAAAGTAGTCTTTAATTAATATCATATCTCAACTTTTTTAGAACTTAAATGAATTTTTTAATATTTTAGGTATCTATTTTGACATAAAATATTTTAAATTTATATTTTAAACCAAAAAGATAACTTTTAAGTATTTATTTTAACCCAAAAAATACTCTAAGAATTTTGTTATTATTCAATATAACTCTTAACTATTTACCAATAAACGTTCACACCCCTAATATTCTTATTGTTTTGAACTTGAAATATCAAAAAGTAATTATAATTTATTTACTTATGAAGTAGCTTGATTAGTTCACTTAAGTATTTAAATGAAGAAAAAAATAAAACTTTAAATATTTATAATATAAACCTAACTTAAGTACTTATTTATGATAAGCCATCTATAAATAATAAAGCTTTCCATGGCCTTGTAATCATTGAAGTTTAGATAAGGAAAATAAATTATCCATAACTTTGCCACTGACCTAACACACTCTCTAACCGACAAGCTTCCATACACGCCTCTGCTAGCGAGTATTACCCACTGTTTTTTTTTTAATCTGTAAGAGATTTTATTCTGTCTTGTTTGTCGTTTTTTCTTTTTGGTATTATATAGCACAATCCATCTTAGTGCTGTATACAAGCAGTTCACTTGTAAGGAACTCCCAAAAAGAGTAAAAAAAAGGTCAGTTCTTTTCAAAGAAGACCCAAAAAAGCTCCTGGATTTTGGATTTCCAGCAAAAAGATTCAGTTTTTCCCCAATTTTGTAGTTGGTTTTAAATTCTGGGTTTTCTTGGATTTTTGCTTTTGAAGCTGTTGAGAGCTTAAGTGTTTTGCTTTTGGGTTCCTTTTTTGGTTTCTTATACTGAAGAATTTGTGTTGGAAGTAAGTCTACTAAGGTTTTCTGTTTCTGCTCTTGTCGTTGCTTCATGGTTTGGCGTTGATTCGATGTTGTCAACTTTGAAGAAAAATCAAATCTTTGAGTTCTTGGCTATGATTTGGGGATTTTGGTTTCTTAATTGTTGTCTGTCTTGCGTTTTTGCTCTACCACTGATCTGTTTAACAGTTTTATTGCTTTGAAATTTGGAAAAGCATGTCTCTTATAGCTCAGGGAAGGGTATGGATTTAATAACATGGCATCGATTTTAGATTTTCATGTATGTGCTAGGGTTTTGCTTGAAGAAATTGGGATTTTGGATTCTGATTAGGTTTTTGATCTGGGAATTTTGATTCCAATTATGTACTTTTGTCTTGTTTTGGCAGGTTCATTTTATTGGTGTTAGCATGGATTCCCCACAATCAGTTGTGTCACCATTGAAGAGCTCTGTTGTAGCTGAGTGTGAGAAGCAGAAATCCAATTTTTTCAATGGATCTGAAGTCGACAAAGCCGAAGCCGTTTCGTCGAAAAAAGACGACGTCGTTGGTGTTCTTGAGGTTTATGTCCACCAGGCAAGGGACATCCATAACATCTGCATTTACCACAAGCAAGATGTCTATGCTAAGCTTTGTCTCACCAGTGACCCCGAGAGCACGGTTTCCACCAAGATCATCAATGGTGGAGGGAGGAATCCAGTGTTCAACGATAACCTTTGCATCGACGTTCGTAACGTCGATTCGTCTCTGAAGATCGAGATATTCATGATGAGTAGGGTGAGGAATTATCTCGAAGACCAGTTGCTTGGGTTTGCATTGGTGCCGTTGTCTGACGTTATAGTCAAGAATGGGAAATTGGAGAAAGAGTTCTCTCTGTCTTCAACTGATCTGTTCCATTCACCTGCAGGTTTTGTTCAATTGTCCCTTGCGTATGTCGGATCGTCTCCCGATGTAATGGCTATTCCGGATGTTGTTGCTGATGAAACCGTGAAGGATTCGGAAACAAGCGAGTTCGAAAAGATCGAGTTTCCGGATCCAAAAATCGTGAATGAGAACCAGATGATGGTGTCCGAGTACTTCGGGATCCCGTGTTCCAATTTGGACCCTGAAAGTTTGGCCACCTCCGATGCCGAGAATTCCGAAATGGGTGTTAATGTACTTGAAAGCTTCTCAACTGCTACGTTGGATTCAATCCAACTCCCCGAGCTCGATTCTCCCCCAAGCAGTGTGTCAACCAATGGGGTTTCGCTTTCATCTCCATCCGCTGCAGCAACCTCCGAGTCCTCCGACGGTGCTTCGAAAACTCCCACTCGGGAACACACTTCAGCCCTGAAAGAGAAAACAGTCCACGTCGGAGACCGCGACAACAGGGATTCCTCGGGGGCGAAACCCGTCGTTTCTGTCAACATTGAGCCTGAAATGCAGGTGGTGCAGCAAGATATAGTGGACATGTACATGAAAAGCATGCAGCAATTCACCGAGTCATTGGCTAAGATGAAATTGCCCCTCGACATGGATAGTGGACCGACCAAATCGGAAAATTCAAGTACTACAACCGATCAGAAAACGCAGGCATCGAAGAACAACGGGTCACGGGTGTTCTACGGAAGTAGGGCTTTCTTCTAAAGGCATCCCTTTCAAAAGGAAGACACATAGGTGACTTGAGATTTTAGGGTGGGTGACTTGTAATGTGTTGTTTTTCTTTGGACATTCAACATGCTTATAAATGAAGGGGAAAACCATAACTGGGTAGCTTTGTTCCACTGCATCTGCTGTTAGTATATATATATATATGTGAACATTTCCTTTTATAACTGATTTTACCTTTGAATAATGGCAAATCATATTGTCTAATTACGAGTAATCATATATATTAGGTAAAGTATACCGTATTTCACTGAATTTTACTCTTATTTTTCTTATCTAATTTTTAATTTGCTCAAATTTTATAAATTAAATCATTTTACTTATTCTACCGTTAATTTTTTAACGGTCTTATGATATCACACAAATATTAAAACGATGTCGAGTAAAATAAGAGAGAAAATAAAGTTAAAAGAAGAATGATGTAATTTATTTTTTTCTCTTCATTTTTTCTTTGTCGGTCACCATGTCATTTTCATTCCGATTATCGTCCACCGTCGTTGACAATGATCGTTCGGTCCCAAATTTTATAAGTCGATTTATCTCGACCCTTGAGTTTAAATATGATGGTTGTTTCACCGAAAAATGTCTCAAAACCCGTGAACCTCGACTAAAACGTTTCAGCTTCCTAACTTTCAATCTCAAATTTGCGGACTTCGAAGTAACTTTCGACAAAATAGAGGTCGGATTCAGATTCACGATGTCAATGCAAAGCGACATGAAATTTAGAACCGAACGACCACCATCTATGACGATCAACGGTTATATCCATCACTTTTTGTTTTTATTTAATAATTTTAATTATTTTATATTAAAAAGTAATAAAATACAACATTATCTAGACGTTAAATAGAAAACGGGAAAGTGAACAAAATGATTGAATCTATAATCTATAAGTTCAGTGAGCAAATTAAAAGTTGAGTAAATAAAATAAGAGAGAATATAATTCACAGTGTAATTTATCCTATATATTATTGTAATAATTAAATATACTTAAATAACAATATTGACAGTTGATGAAATTTTCTTTTTGGCAGTCATTATTTAAGTTCCATCACCCCCTTGTTTGTTCATTGATCAACACCTGAACTTTTTCTTTTCTTTGACAGACATACATGAATAAAAGTAAATGGACCAACAATTCAACACGATGACCCAAAAACCATAATCGAATCGGCTTGATTGCCGACTCGATTGTTGGTTGTTTCCCTCGCTAAACCTAAGTAGCGATCGGAATATCGACGAATTCGGAATTCAAACTCGGGACTAGTTGTGTACCAACAAGAGACTGGAAACTTAAGAGAGGTGATTTGGATAGTGGAAGGCTCCTAAAATACACATAACAAAAAGCTTACCAACAAGCTCATCTCATTATCAAGAGGACAAAGAATGCCATAAAATAATTCACATAAAGTTAAAGAGGGAGGACCACAGTCATGTTGGTAAAGATAAGAATTCTCGGTATGGCCAGAGTGGTTACTCGGAACAGATGGATACCTCTGAAAAACACAAGAAGAAAGGCAATCAATGCAGCATTCGTATCATTCCAGAAAAATGAAACATCCTGATTTTTCTGTCGTATCGGTTTATCGTAACCATATGGACATCCTCGTGTCATGTTCTTTATATGACAATACGAAGAAAACCGGCATGTCGATGATGACCGACTGACGGTTGTCATATATGTTCTAATGAAAAATCAAATTAGAAACTTTTGTAATTTATTTTATTGGCATTTTTATATGGATAGTTCTCTAACGATTCACACTAGCAAATCGAACCGAAACTCCTTAAAATCGGAGAGAAAACAATCCCAGACAGTACCAAGTAAACACAAGGACATGACCCAGCAGCTCAGGCAGGCATTACAGCAGCTGAAAATTAGAAGGAAAAAAAAAAGGAAAAATAATCGATACCCTATTGTTTGATGTACCATTACTGGCACACGTTGCTGCAGATGCATGGCACATTAAATCGAACCAATCTTCAGGAGTGTATATCCCGCATTCTGATTGTAAACCTCACTCAAAATACCAAGGGAACCTAAATTCTTTTCACTATAAAAATAAAGTAAACAAATTCAAACCCCAAACCTTGTAGAAAATCGCTTGAAACCGCTCACTCCGAATGTGTATTCAGTATTTTCAAATCATTAACCGTCATTAGTCCCATAAGATCAATCTGTGTATGCCAACATAGTAACGAGTCAGTTGTATCGAATTCACAAATACTTCACATGTTTGTGCACATTCCTTCAGCCTACATATAGTATCTGATATCCAAATAACAGATCTCCTAGGAAGCAACTCCTGAAGAAGAAACAATGAAAGAGATGAATTAACAAATGTAGAAAGCCTGCATTCACCTCTCAAGCCTCAGCACATTGGAAAACATTAAATTTTCCAAAGTAATCTCGAAGTATATATTAAAGAATGGTCTTTTGGCGACTCGTTCCTATGACATTAAGAATATTCACATAATGATTTTCCTGTTTCATGACAATATCAAGTTCATACAGGGCCAATCCAATAACAATTTTTAAGTAGGCAAAACATAAAATAAATTAGTTCCATCCAGTACTAATGACCTGATCGTTGTACTTTTTGACAGTCTAGGCTAATCAGATGCCGGAAAATGAGTTTATGTTATCACTGTCCACGACATCATAGATACCAAACCATGGTGTTCCAGCCTGAATGGAGTACAAGTGTACAATTGAAATTACATTCCAGCAAAAGGAAATTTTCATCTGGAGTAAAGAAATCGAGGGAGAACCTAATTGAATTCAGAAGCTTTTCCTAAAGATCACTTAATGAACTAAAGAGTATTACCTCTACTGGACTGTCTACTTGCAGCACTGTAACTTCCAACATAATCCTCAGAGGTTCTAGCAGTATCATCTGCAGATGTATTGCCGAGCTCATAACCAAATGAGCTAGAACCATTCAAGTCAGGCGCTGCAAACTTCCAAGTTGAGTCACCGTATGCTGGACCACTGAGGCAAAGATCCCCATAGGAACCTTCAATATTACAAGTTGGTCCAGTAAATGATGATGTTGGAGGTACAACAGTTCTGATGTTTCTTCCGTATCCTCCCCCTCCCAAACCATAGTTGTCATCTGCACTCCCACCTGTATAGCCAGAAGCATTTCCTCCACTTCGAGAAGTAAGAGAAGGGATCCAATTTTCCCCACTATTTCCTAAGGAACTGAAGCTATCATTTCCAGATCCCAAGTAACTAGCAGGGATGGAAGCATTTGTGGCATTACTAAGGCCTACATTTCCCCAGACATTCCTAGTAGTGGGGCTCAAAACAGGATCATTTCTTCCACTTCCGACACCATAGCCAATCGGAGTGTTATATCTGTTTGAATTCCCACCGAAATAGGGACTAATTATCCGCCCGTATCCAAGACTGTTGCCAAAGTTGGAATTCCCACCATAGTTTGGGCTTATTCCCGGTTCTATATTCATACCTACTCCATAGCCAGTGGAACTAAATGGAGGAAACCCACTTCGCCCACCAACGAGAGGACTAAACCTATCATCCATCCGAAACCCAATGCCTCCAACCGGACTTAGATTATATGCCTGCGCATAACTATTGAGGAAGTTGGAAGCCCTATTCAAACCATAATTATATCCGATTGTAAGGTTGTGGTTGGTGGCACCTGGAGGTTCTTTAGGCACTGCTCTCTTGACCTCAACCAATTTCCCGTTAATTTCATGAAATGTTTTATGCAGGACTTTGTCTACCGATTCTTCTGAATCATAGGTGATGAAGCCGAACCCTCTAGGCCTTTGTGTTTTGTGATCATACATCACCACAACATCAATAATTTTACCATACTGATCAAAGTAGTTCTTAAAGTCAACCTCGGTTACAGTAGATGCCAAACCTCCAACAAAAATCTTTTTTGTTCGTCCAAGACCAGTAGGTCCAGTGATGCCAACCATGTTCCTGTTTAGAACGAGCTGTACATCCCTAGGAACAGCCTTCTTTGCCTCAACCTGAAAATTGAACAGTCAACAACTTGAATCGACCAGTTGCAACTCGACTTCTGTCTCAAACAATTAAGTCAAAGCCACAAAAATAGTACAAAGGAGACAATATGGCGGATTTAACTCGCTGTGATTATCACAAATATCGAATTAATCCAGGAAAAATAACATCCCAATACCAATTAAATCTGTAATACATGAAGGATAAATATAATCAAGGCTCTCACCATGCGACCATCAATCATATGATTATCCAAAACTGCCCTCCCGGCAACAGATGGATCGGCAAAGACAACAAAACCAAAGCCGCGGGCAAGGCCCGTGACACGATCTCTCATGATCATTGCCTCCACCACTTCACCATACTTTCCGAAATACTCCTTCAGACGTTCCTCATCGGTGTCCCAGGATATCCCACCAATGAAGAGTTTACCAAGATCTGGTTCCATCTTATCTACAATCACCATAATCGACCACCAATTTCAATCCCAAAAGCACAGATTGTAAATTTTTCTCAGAATAATGTTACCCACAAACTGGATTCAAAGATTAAATTTTCAAATTCAATCATAATTCTGACACCAATTCTATAAAAGAAACTCTTTTACATCTTAAAAAGCCAACCCTGAATTATCCAACTATCAGCAGCAGCTAAAAGGATCCATCTTCATGCAGAAAAACAAACCACAACAGATAAAATACGAACAATAACTACAATCAAACACGAAAATTAAAATGAAATACATACCTTTTGTTATGAATACAGGTAGAATCTACCACCAAGGACAAAGTGGGTAGCTGTTAAATCCAATCTAGGAGCATCTCAAAAACTTTATGCACTAATCAGAAAACAACCCAGAATTCCTGCCAATCAAAACCATTTAAAATTGAGACTGGATTGTGCAGATCAAGAAAAAGGACCAAAGATCAGGAAACAGAGACAAACAGAGACAAACAGAGATGAAGCAAAAGAAGAAAATAGAGAGCGAACTTTACCATTCTGAAATGACCCAGATTAGAAAATGGGAAGCAAATTAAGATCTGAGATGATAAATGATGACAATGGAAACGGAAGAGGAGATTTTTCTGTTTTTTTTTTAATCCTTTTCCTCTCTTCTGCTCCCCCCTCTCTGTTTCTTTTGTATCTTTCTTTGGTTATTCCACTCCTCTTAATTCAATCAAAAGAGATCGAATTCGGGGGGCGGGGCGGGGGCGGGGGGGGGGGAGGCGCGAAGAGAGAGAATATATGGCGAGAGAGGCAGAGAGATTGGGATTGGCAATCCTCTGGGCTAAGAATATTTTGGAGGGGATGGTGAGTTTTTTTAATGGAAATTTTAAAATTTTATTTTTGAATTTTGCAATGTTTTTTTTATTATCTAATTTTAATTTTAGGGGCGGTTTGTTTACTTCAGAATGATTAAGTGTTGAATGATTCAAAGGCTCTGAATGTGACATGTTGTTTGATAACTGGCTCTGAATGATTCAGAATGTACTTTTGTACTGAATCAGTCAGCACTGAATCATTCAGAGGTGCGAAACTAACGCGTTGAATGCTGAACGGTTCAACATTCAGCTCTGAATGATTCTATTAAGAGGCAAACAAGCAACCCCTTAGTCTCACTAGTTGGCTGAGATTTAAGATTTAGGGACTGTTTGTTTGCCTCTTAATTGAATCATTCAACGTGTTTGTTTCGCACTTCTGAATGTTTCAGTGCTGACTGATTCAGTAAAACAATGCTGAATGATTCAGCACAGAAGTACATTCTGAATGATTCAGAGTCATTATCAAACATCATGTCACATTCAGAGCTTATTCATACAGAGCCTCTGAATCATTCAGCGTTTAATCATTCTGAAGTAAACAAACAACCCCTTAGTCCTCTAACATTAAATAGTTTGAGAGAAGATTGTTATCTTTAAAATTTTTAAATTCGAGCACGATGTCTACAGAGTGTTTGAGTATTCATTGTTAAATGATTAAGAGTTTTTCAATCAGATACTACCTTATAATCACTCCAAACTAATTAAAAAAAACTCTCTATCTCAATTTGATATAATTTATTTTACTTGATAATTATTATTAATTGATATAATTAAAGTAATTATATATTAACAAGTGTCGGTTCAAGTGATAAGTAATTTAATATCACTTAAGCAATGTCTCGAGTTTGAGTCATTGTGTATTTAGACAATCCTTGTTGGGAGACTCACCCATCAAAACCAGATGTGCAACGCGGGTCGATCCTAATTAATTAAGATAAAATCTGAAAACCGACAAAACAACTAAAAATAAGTTAATAAGGGACACATTTAATGAGACAAAGGGCGTAAAAAAAAGAGGCCAGATTTATTTTGGATGAAAAGAAAGATTAAATCTTCATATCAACATAATGAAGGGACTAAAACCAAAATAAGACATTTATCATATAACTATTCCGTACTTGGATTGCATGTTAGAACCAACTTTTGCATATTTAATCATGAAACAGACTTTTGGACCACTTTATTTACACCTTAAATTTGCATTATAATATTTGAATTATTAGAAATATATATACATATATATATATATAGACAGGTTGGCTCAAGTTTTAGGCATGCTGTTGTTGTCTTAAGTTGATGTTACAAAGCTGGTTAGGGTAAAGATTAAGCCTGGCTGGCTTAACACCACACATTTTTTTAATTTATCACTGGTATTCGATCTATTAATTGATTAATTTAAATCGGATACTGTAAATAGGAATGACAATTTCACCCACATCCGACAGGTCCCGACTTGGTCGGGTCAATTTTTTTTTTAAATCAGGTTCGGGACGGGTTAGATTTTTTGAGGGGAGAGTCGGGTTGGGTTTCGGATGGAGGGTGAAAAAAACTCTGACCGATCCGACCCGAAGATAATAATATAATTTTCTTAAATTTTTTATTATTTTTAATTAAATCCTTAATTTATAAGGGGTCGGGTCGGGTTTATACTCTAAAAAATCAGGTTGGGTGGAGTTGGGTAGATAATATATATTTTTCGGGACATGTTGGATCAGATGTGGGATATAAAATTTTCAGGTCGGGACAGGGTAGAGAGTGTATATTTTCGGGTGGGTCGGGTTGACCAAAAAACTGACCCTAAGCCGACCCGTTGTCATCACTAACTACAGAGGCGAGTGTGACCCTTTCAACTCAGTTTGCTTCCTTCGTAAACTTTAAGGTTGGAACCTGACATTGTTTAAAAAATCTAATGTCTCGTCTTACTAGATGAACGGTTAGTTAGTAACATCGCGCATTAATTAATAATTTCTTTATTGATTTTCCTTTTGGGTCACACAACATCATCAATTCATTACAGTTTGATGGCAATCATCATGTCTTGTTTTCTGGATATTTTTAGGGTTTCTTCTAAGGTATTTTTGTAACATTGATGGAACAAATTTATTGCAGTTGGATGGTATAAGTTTAATTAGGTGTAAACAGAAAGCAAGGTTTCACACTTTCTGGATATTTAGTGATTTGGTCAGCATTCTTTAAATATGAACAACGAGACCCAAAAAATAAAATTATAAAATAAATTAGACAAAAAAAATATCGTAAATTATTCGAATTCAATTCGGTCAAAATTTCACCAACATTCAAACGAATATGGCTCAATTCAAGTTCTTAACGAATCGAAGTTAGTTACTTGATATCCAAACTCAAAAATAACTCAAAAAATAATTTTTTATTTTTTTAAAATTAAATCAGTAGTAATATTAATATTAATATTTATATGTTATTTCTATTTATAAAAATATGCAATATAATTTTTTTTCATATACTTAAAATGCATATTCGAATTTGGATCAAACTCGAGTTCGAACCTCAATCAAACTAAATCTGAGAATGTTTCAAATTTAATTTTTTTAGAGCTCGATCCCAACTTTAATTTTTGATTTCGAGTTTAAGTTTGACAATTTTAAACTCAAGAGCTTTTGAGTCGAATCGAACTCAACTTTAAACTTTTTGAGTTAAGTCAAATTATGTAATACTCAAACTCGACTTATTTACATTCCCAGTTGCGATAGTTAGGGGTGTTCATAATTCGATTAAAATCGAATTAACTGATCAAACCAAAATTGTGACCGGTTAATCGGTCGGTTAATTTTAGGTTGATCGGTTAACGATTAATGTTTTTTTCAAACTTCGGTTTCAGTTAATTCGATTCGAAATTGATTAATTAACCGAATTAACCAAAAATATTAAATATTTAATATATTATATATATTATTTAGCTTTAGAGGTTTTTAAACATCATTTTTAGCCGAATTAACTGACCAAATTAACAGGATAACCAAAAGTATTAAATATTTAAAATATAATTTGTATTATTTATAAATTTCGGTTAATTCAATTAATTCGGTTAACCAACTAAATAACCGAACTTAATTCAGTTCAGTTTTTTTTGAAAAAAAATGGTTCGATTGATGATCAAAGGAAAAAAAAATTCGGTTAATAAAATTTGAATAATTCGATTGGATCGATTAACCGTTTCAACACCCTAGCTATAGTAATAGTTTAGCCACTAGAATAAATCATTAACAACCAGTTATACAAGAAGTTCCTTCTAATTGTGTGTATACCGAACAGGAAAATTAAAGATTCTATGGATACTGTAATAAACAGCTATATGTAGGTTAGCATCTCCATACAAAAGAAGCAACTATGGCTCGATTCATCCAGCCCAGATACAGAACCCCATCTCTTTCTTCGAGTGTGTACTTATCACAGTAGCTTTGAAGCAGAGTCTTGATGGTGGAATTGACGAACGAGGTTTAAAGCTCGCCATCACGAACCTCGATCTCCATTTACCCAAAAGTTCGTGTCGTTCGACTCTCTCGGGCCCTTCGCATGCTATGATGTTGACGATTTTCCGTGCAAGACAGTTCTGTTCAACGCTGATCCGTTCCTTGTGATCCCTCGGCAGACTAACGTCGATAAATTCAAAGACGGCTAAGTAGTGGTTCATTGTCTCTAGAAAGTGGGGAACGAATGGGGCGGTATTCGTGTTTGCTTCTTGCTCGACGAGTTTTACCACCTTTGGAGACAAACTCTTTGCCAACCTCATCAGTCTGTCCCGATGGTTCTGAGTGCCCACACTTTCTCCTGGCATGTAATGCAGCATCATGGCAAAGCTTACGGCTATGGCTTCACCGGGTTGAATCCCGAGGTCTTCGAGTTGAACCTCTTTACAAGAAATAGCAGCGGCTTGGAACTCAAAGGGAACCTTACATGACTCCGCGAGCTTGCGTAGTCTTTGTCCCACTATTTCAAGTCCTCCTCCCCTGGCGTAAGATGATGTAGAATCATCAATGCCTATAATACGTATGCTTGGCGGTCCACCTGGTCTAGCAGCAAGAGCATGGATTAAGGTAAGCCATTGGCTTCCTTGTGCAATCTGGAGATCAATTATATGGATTCAACTTTCATATTTCATGGCTTCAGCAATTGCTCTGTTCGCTGAAATAGAGCCGAACTTGAATATGGGCAGATCTCTTGGGTGGCGTTTGGTTGTATGGAATCCTTGAAATTAGTGGGAATTGGAATCTAATTCCACCACTTTCTCATGTTTGATTCAAGTTTTTCAAGGGAATTAGAATCCCTGATGGAATTCAATTCCCTTGTTGGAGGGAATTGAAATTTGACCATATTACCCTCATCAATCCTTTGGTAACTTATTCATATATTGAATAAAAATATTTTTTTATTATTTCGGGTCTGGTTGGGTTTCTAATTCATATATTCGGGTCGGGTGAAACTTTATTTTGGTCGGGTCGGATCGGGTTTTTTAAGTGTGATATTCGGGTCGGTTCGAGTTCGGGTTTAGGGTGAAAAAAATCGGACCGACCCGAAAATATATATAATTCAGGTCGGGTCGGATTAAGTCACTGTTTTTATTAAATAAAAATAATTTTTTATTATTTCGGGTCGAGTTGGGTCAGATTTCTAATTAATATATTCGGGTCGGGTCGGATGAAACTTTATTTTGTTCGGGTCGAGTCGGGTTTTTTAAGTATGATATTCGTGTCGGGTCGAGTCGGGTCGGGTTTTTTTAAGTGTGATATTCGGGTCAGATCGGGTCGGGTTCGGGTTTAGGGTGAAAAAAACCGGACCGACTCGAAAAATATATATATAATTTTACCTTATATATTTAGGAATAATTACAATAATACCCCTCTATATATAATTTTTTTCAATTAAGTTAATGTTTTTATTGAATAAAAATATTTTTTTTATTATTTGAGTCGTGTCGGGTCGAGTTTCTAATTCATATATTGAATAAAAATGGTTTTTGGTAACTAATTTACATACTCCGATTGGAATGTATCGAAATAATGCTCTATCTTTTGGTAACTTATTAACATATTTTGATTGCGATGATTTTAACTTATAATGTTTATTAGTATGATTTTTATAATTTATTGAAATGAATAATCAATCAATAAAATGAAAATTTAATATTTTTTAATTTTATATATATATTACTACATGTAAGTTGTAAAATAAACTAAAATAAAACAAAAAAAAAGAAGGGCAATTATGTCATTTTATATTACTGAAATCAAATTCATCTGACATGTCTGCGAATCAAACAGAATATGAAATTAGATTCCAATTCCATTTCCTGCCAACCAAACAGAATATGGAATTCGATTCCAATTCCTTCACAGATTCTAATTCCCTCGTAAACATTCCAGAGAACCAAACGCCAGAGTATGTGCATGTATGAAAGCAGTTCAGCACCGGTAGGCTCTTTGCATCTTATGGCTTTGTAGATAGAACTTCCTGAGGAGGCCAACCTAGCAACAAGCCCTTCCAACATGTAGGCTTTTAACCGTTGCTTCGGTCTTCTGCAAGCTTGATTATTATGGGCATCTTTCCTAACTTTGTTTCTAACTTTCTCAGCTCACTGGTAAAGTGCAAAATGCATTTTGTACTGGTAAAGTGCAAAATGCATTTTGCACTTTTGTGTTAATGATAGGTGTGGTGTGGGGTTTCACATAGCATGTTAACTAACTGTTCTTTATTGGCAATGCAATTTTTGTTTATTTTATGTTGCTTCCAATTAGTTTTCTTTCCTGGGTAGATCTCTTTAATAGTTAGAACTACAAAGCATGTGTTTCTTTGATTCAACTTCCATGTTCAGTTCCTGGTGAGTATTTTGCCAACTTGGATACCACTGGAAGAACAATTGATTTGGATCAGCGGCCCGAGCTTATGTGTGGAATTTGTAGCACCAACTGAATACATGGTGCGGCCTCCAATGCCGCCACTATACTTTTTTTCATTGATGTTTCAATATCTGCAGTAAGAAGTGGTATGATTGAGTTAAGCATTTCCTTTAAGGCAGTTAATTATTTACCATAACTTCTTGTAATAAAGCATTTTGTTATTCTAATAAGAATTTTAAAAGGCATTTTCTTCTGATTGTAATGTGAATTAAGGACATGTGAAGTACAGTTGAGGAGGCTGCTCTTTTTCTGATCAGCTATTAGTGCTCAATATTGTTCCGATATTCTGTATAAAATGCTGGCTTGGGTTATCTAGTGTCTGTCTCATATACTTTGTACAATTTGGAAGAGATAGATGGGCGGTCTTTGCCACAACTTGGTCTTAAATATGGTTATAAAGTAAGGTTTGCAAGAATCTTTTGCCTCGCCATGAAATCTGTAGAGAAATATGGGTCAGCCTTTACCAATAATAGCATTCTTTTTAGTTTCTTGCTGATGTCTGTGTTGTATATTGGTTGTTTGACCATCTATTTACCGTAGAGTCAACTTGGGGGAAAGCTGCTAATATTCCAGAACTCATTGCCTTCCCTGGGAGTTGGGCGCTTGAAGTTTGCGTGGGGATGATCTTCGTGTGTATGGAACTGATAAGGAGCAAATATTAAGATTACCAGAAGATCCCTTCTACAAGAAAATGGCTGCAGATCTTACGAAGTACCAGATAGGGGTTAATATTTATGCCTTCAGTGACAAATACACTGACATAGCCTCATTAGGTGGAAAAACACTGCCCTTTCCGATATAGATAATATAGATGTTTATAAGAGCTTTTAGTGATACTGGATATCTCTTTTATGAAAATTTCAATGTAGGAACCCTGGCAAAATATACTGGAGGTCAAGTGTATTATTATCCAAGCTTCCAATCAGGCATTCATGGAGAGAAGCTGAGGCATGAATTAACCAGAGATCTCACTAGGGAAACATCCTGGGAAGCAGTTATGCGCATAAGATGTGGAAAAGGTCTGCAGATTTTAAAAACCTTTAAAATATTTCAATAAGGATGTTGAGCTTGCAACTGATAATCACTCCTAGCTCATATTTCAGCCATCCCCTCGAGCTGACGATTTCAAAAACACCAAGAGGTTGCCTTTGGTTGCAGAAAGCCTAGATTCAAGAGGCCTTTATATATATGACGATGGTTTCCGCTTTGTTATTTGGTTTGGTAGAATGCTATCTCCCGATATAGCTAAGAATTTACTCGGGCCAGACTTTGCAGCCGAATTATCAAGGGTATGATCTCTTCTTGATGAAGCTGTATTCTTATTATTTCAAGTTTGTTGAATATGATAGGTTTAATCTGTCCTAGTGACCATTTAATGTGTAAAAGGAACTTGTATCATTGTTGGTATTCAACATATATACAAGTTTTGCTTCAAATGCTGGCCATGATAACACTGTTTGAAGTTAATCTGTCAGACTATTCCTTTGACCTTTCCTTGGCATGCCCCGTGATGAGTTTGTAACTTAACTGGTTCTTCATGTTGTCAATTTAAAATCAGGTTATTCTTACCAAGCAGGATAATGAAATGTCGAGAAGGCTGATGAAGATATTGAAGAAACTAAGAGAGAGTGACCCTTCATATTATCAACTTCCTTATCTTGTAAGACAAGGTGAACAACCCAGGGAAGGTTTGCTGCTGCTCGGTAATCTTATCGAGGACCAGATGGGTGGAACCACTGGTTACGATTACAACTCAACTTGAACTCAAAATGTAAATAAAGTACAAGTCTTCCATGGCCTGCCTTAAGCTTTTGTTGATTAACCCAAGTGAAGAAAAGGCTATGAAATAAAATACAGAGAATTTACAATTTTACTACATACCTCAAATTGTATTTGATTTGATATCAATTTTTGGATGTGAGCAGTTTTTTACCCTTGTAGATGCTTAACGAGTCCAGTCCAGTCCAGTCCAGTCCATTTCCTCCGGTAGAGTAGGCATTTTTGGGCAATCAAGAATCTCAAGTTCATGAAGTGAAGTGAGATCTTTCAGCCACACTGGTAGTGCTTCGATGTTGTTGCAACTTTCGATTCGTATTCGCCGCAAAGTCGAAGAAGATCCTTTGAGAAGCAATTCTGGCAAATCTTTCAACTCTTCCAAATCCCAGAGTGACAAAGTTTTGAGGCTCAACTGAAGGTTGACATCTCCCTCTTCTGGTTCCATTAGTAAATTGATTCTTTTGCATGAAGATATACTGAGGACTTGTAATCTGGTTAGAAATTTCATGCTCCTTGGCAATGAGACAAGATTAGAACAACCCAAGAGATCAAGTGTTCCGAGTGATGTAAGATGCTTCAGTCCTTCAGGTAAACATTCTAAATTGTCGCAGTCAATCAAGCCCAAGTGTTGAAGACAAGGCCAACATCCTTGTTGAATCTCTGTCAAATGCTTAGCTTTGATAGTTATTTCCAGATATCTCAACTCAATCAAGCATTTCATGCTTTTGGGTAGTTGTTTCAAAGGAATTCCCGACATTCTTAGCTTTTGCAACAACCGGAGCTCGTAGAAGGATCTCGGGAGTTCCGTTATGCTGCGACAGCCGGCCAAGTCGAGGTCTCTTAAGTGCTTCAATTTACCAATGTCCTTATGTAAACCAGTCAATGATGCTTGAGATCGTAGACGAAGTACTCGCAGGTGCTCGAAATTGGAGACACAGAGATTTATTAGTGATTCCTCAATGGTATTTGATTGCTTCGAAACCCCCTGGATGATCACTGTTCTAACGTTTCTCAGTTTCTGCAAGTAGTGTGGAACTATTTCTAGCTTGTCATCAGAAAATGATAAATGTCGAACATTTTCATCGGCGGTTGTTCGGTTACTCACCGTTTTACACTCTTTTTGGGACACTTCCAATGCAAGATCATGGACCAGGTCGTGCATTCTGAAGGCAAAATAAGTGCCGTAATCCTTCTCCTTCTCGATGAGGCACCTTGACAGTAATTCATACAAATACCGATCGCCAACAGCTTCCCACTCTTGGTTTTCCCTTGGATGCTCAAGCAGTCCATTTGCCATCCAAAGTTGGATGACTTCATGGCTACGGTAAATCTCATCCTTTTTGTACAATGCCAAAAAAGCGAAACATCGTTGCAAACGAGACGGTAAATGATCGTAACTCAACTTCAACACCGGTAAAATACTATTATCGCTTTGCTCGAGTCTCCACATTTCACTGTCTCTTACAGAGATCCAATAAGATTCATCTGTTTTCCTATATAATAGGCTTCCCAATGTTCTCACAGCCAAAGGAACTCCTTTGCATCTTTTCACAATGTCATCCCCAATTCTCATGAGATTTGGATGTCGTCTCTCATCACCATCTTTGAAAGCCCGTTTCTTAAACAATCTCAAGCAATCTTCATGGGGGAGACCTTCCAGTTCAATAGGGCGAATCGGACTTATTATCGAGGCAACCGTCAAACTTCGAGTGGTCACAATGATCTTGCTTTTGAACCAGCCACCCATTGAGCTCAATATATCTATGAAGTCGGCCCATCTTTCTTGATTATCGTTCCAGACATCGTCTAGAACGAGCAGAAACTCCTTGTCCTTCAAAAGACTTCGTAAACAGTTCTGCAATGCATCAAGCCCCGAATTATCACAGTTTTCTTCTCTGTTAATAGAGTGAATCATCAGCTTGAGCATACTTGGAAGATCAAATTCCTTTGGAACGCAGACCCAGAGCTTCTGTTGGAAAAGACGAGTAACTTCACGATAATTGTACACCAATTGAGCGACCGTGGTTTTACCTAGACCGCCCAATCCAACAATGGGGATGACAGGGTCACTTGATCTCATCAAAAGATCAATAATTTTCCTTTTATCATCTTCTCTGCCAATGACATCCCAAGAGTTCACAAAAGAGTGAGTGTCTCTCTGAAAAACACGCCGGTTGTCGTTGCTACACTCTCTTAGACCAAAGCTGTCCCACTCGGCGGCAAGTTCGCTTAGCCTCCGATTGATCTCTTTGATTTTATGATTCATTGTCAGAGAGAATGTACCGTGCAAGCGTCCAGTAGAAAATTTACGCCGGAAGCCGAGGTTGGAATGATTGGATACCTGTTTGCGGACAGCCTCACACTTGAAATCATCGATAACATCCTCGGCATCATAAAAGATGTCTCTGAGCTTCCACATACAGAGGCGCAGGTTTTCGTTCTGGTGCTGCTGCCGCTCGGCATCGAAAAGCACGGCTTGAATGCGGCTCAGGGTCTCCTTGAGCTTCTTCAAATCTCGGTCGACAAGGAAGGCCGTGTAAGCTTTGTTAGCGATGGCGCGGACTATTTTCTCCAGAACCACTGATGCAATAGGGGCCAAAAACGTTTCTGCCATAGTTGAACTCTTAAGAGCAAAGAAAGAGAGGCAATTGCCTAATGAAATGAAGCACTCAAAAACGATTCTCTTTCCTTCTTTTTCAGCAATATGAGCAAATTATCTTGTGGCTGCAGATCATCAACGAATCTATATATATAGATTCCATAGTTGAATACTCTTGGAGGGTATTTTACAGGAAATATCATCAAATTGTATCCTCAAACCCTCTAACCAAAAGAACCATTCCAAGTCTACAAGGAAAGGTCGCAGAAGGAACTATGATCTTGTACCTCGTACATATGTAATAATTAGGGGCGTTGAAAACCGGGTATCTGCATTTTCGGGTATCCGAAATATCGGATACTTGATTTTTCGGGTAGTATATTTGGCGGCTTGTGATCCGGTCCATTAAGTTTGACTATATGTATTTTCGGGTCATGAGTACCCGGTTCATATATTTATTTATATTTTTTAATTTAATTTATTTAAAAATCACATAAGAAACACATAAAAATTTAAAAGTCATATTATACAATCCACATACAAAAATTAGTGAATTGAAGTTAGTTTTAAGGATAAATAATATTTAGATATACATATTAAATTTTATTTCCAAAAAGAACATTAAAAGTATCAATATCGATTGTGGTTTTTTTTTTCGAATCTCATATTGACAAATTAATAAAAATTTCTTTGAAAAATTTAAAACTTAAAAATACATAATACAAATCTATGAAAAATGTAGGGATATAAATTTAATTTTAAGGTAAAAATACTAAGGAATCCAAAATAAAAATATAATTTAAACTAAATATATATATTAAAACTACCGAGTCGGTCGAGTACCCCAATTATAAAAAAATTCAGCCTAGACCTAGCCCAACTACCCGAAAAATATTACGGGTCTGATACTCGGTCCGATCGAGTAATTTTTTTAAAAGATTATACAGTTTTTTATATTCATGTCAGTGGTCGACGAGTCGGGTGTTTTTGAACACCTCTAGTAATCATTAATCGTTATCAAAACATGAACAATTTAAAAGTATATTAAATAAAAAAAAGTACAACGAATCAAATATGAGAGAGAGTATAATTGAGTGAAGAATGACGTAGTTTACTCAATTATTTATTGGAGAGATAATTTCATTATGCTTAAAAAGAAGCAATGACTATGTGATAAAAGTTATAATACGTTACTCAATTTTTAACGATTAAATTACAATTAATAAAATTTAATAATTGTCATAACAACTAATTATATTATTTAAGTTAAATAATCGTAAACTCCTTACTCTCGAGTAAATTAAGATGGAAAAATCATGAATCTTGATGATACCAACAAGAGACGAAAATGTCAATTAATTTAGTTTGGATATGACTTTTCTTTTAACTGAATTATTAAATGTAGAAATTTGTTGATTAAGCCCACACGCTCTTCTCAATTAATTTATTGATATGACAGCATGTTGTGTTTCAGTTTTTTAAGTCCTGCCAATCATGTAATCATTCATATATATATATATAGAGAGGGTCGGATCGGGTTTTTGGTCCACCCGACCCGAGAGCAAGAGAGTCTCTACCCGAGACCCGACCCGACCCTAATATATGACATAGAAATCCGATCCGAAATAATAAAAAAATTATTTTTATTCAATAAAAACAGACTTAATTGAAACAAATATATATATATATAGGTGTATTATTGTAATTATCCCTAAATATATATTATAAAATTATATTTTTTTCGGGTCGGATCGGATTTTTTTCACCCTAAATCCGAACCCGACCTAAACACCACATAAAAAAACCCGACCCGAACCTAATTTTTTTTTAAAAAAAATCGACCCAATCAGGTCGGGTTTAAATACCCATCCCTGTATATATATATTGCATCTATTTACCCAAAAAACCCTTTTCATATATTAGAGATTCTATGTAGTTGTAATAAATATACATTAGTTCTATGTAGTTGTAATAAATATATATTAGTTGTAGGTAATGAAAGCAAATGAATTATACAAAGTCTTCTGGAAATATTTTTTTTTATATTGTATTAAATAATGATATTATTCATCTTTGCTCAAACGATCGCTATCTATGTTTCGATATAATTTTTATCGTATTTCTTTTTAGTTATGTTCTACACATTCTCAATTTTTGATAATGAACGTTCAATCATCCAGCTATAGTCGTTGGTGATCGAACTCGTAACCTCTAGAAACAATAATAATTTTTTTAATCACTGAGACAAATTGATTCGTGTTATTATATTTATTATTATATATTAATAACTTTTGCATCCCTAATCAATTTGCTTAAGATTAAGCTAACACTGCAAAGGGTGGGCCTCTCTTTGCATTGAACCCAATAATAATTAACTTAATCCTTAAGCTTCCATTAATTCTGTCTTATATGTACATACACATAGATCAGGCATGGATCGAAGGGGAAGAAGGAAGGTAGTCTCCTTCTGAAATTTTTAAATTCTCATATATTTTAGATTTTTTGTGTATTTTCTATTAATAATTTATTCTCTTCCTAAAATTTTATATGTTCTTCCCTGAAACGGATTATTTGAATATCGAATCCGATGACTTGTATAAAGAGCTAGAAGCAGAAGCGCATCTGAATTACATGATAAGTTTAAATCCTATATAGATTTTCTCTTGTCGTAAACACTATTATTCTCTAACAGGATAAGAGTAATACAAGTTAATATATTTCTTGGAGACCACTATCTCTTTATATATACATAAATATTATGTTAGTCTATAACTATACCCCTCGTCAAATTATAAATACAACTTATGGCATCTACACTTTGATTTTATGACACTTTAATACCTATGACATATGTAACGTAATCGGTCACTTAATTTTGTATCACACTTTGTGATAATCGATAACATTGCATATGCGAAGGTAAGCATTTTGTTATCTTGTATTACATTTTTTAATTAAAAACAGCAGTTTTATTGACCCTGCATGCTTTCTCCCTTTCGGTTTCAATATTCGAGTAATAAAAGTGCAGAAATCAAGAAGCAAATAAATACAACCTGCTGGAACCTTAAAACTCCAACTCCTTGTCTGTTTGAAAACCAGGCAAAATTGATTCCATTAGTAAATTGATTCTTTTGCATGAAGATATACCGAGGACTTGTAATTTGGTTAGAAATTTCATGCTCCTTGGCAATGAGACAAGATTAGAACAGCCCAAGAGATCAAGTGTTCCAGCTGATGTAAGATGCTACAGTCCTTCAGGTAAACATTCTAAATTGTCCCGGTCAATCAAGCCCAAGTATTGAAGACAAGTCCAACATCCCTGTTGAATCTCTGTCAAATGCTTAGCTTTAACAGCAAGGATAAAACGTATAAAAGTACACTATCATTATATTCGTGTGAAGATCTTTGAAGAGGAGATTAAGATAATACTAACAAACACAGATGAACATGTTACAAATATATTCGCAGAGAGTCTAAGTAGATCAAAGTTTCGAGAAGCAATCGAAATACATCCTCTCTTGTTTTTAGTGTCTAATAATTTCACCATTATGACATGATTTTCTTTATCTTTTAGCACGTTATCTTTTTTATCTATTATTTGACCATATTCTTTGTTTAATTTTTTAAAGGTTGGATTTAACGTCGGCTCAACTGATGAATTAATTTTGATGGTAAAAGTCTGATAGTAGACGTGGACTTCATTAGTGCTCATAGGACAAGTTGTGTACTTTAAAGGAAGATGGCGGGCTTGCTCGTGTCAAGATAAAAATCCAGGTATGGGGACTTGCGTGCAATTGTATTCATTCAAAGCAAAATTTTTATGTGAAGCATATTTTAATCGACCCTTCGTCTGTGTATTGTAATGGGGTTATTGAATCGGGTATCCATGTGGTTAGAGACTGCTTTGCCACGGTTGGTGTGGTCTGCTCTTCGTTATCAGTGGACTCAAGATGTTAGTCAGTTAGTCATGCTTCTATGTTAGATTGGTTATGGTATTTATTCGACAGGTTCCCAGCTACACAGCTTACGTAAATAATAACCATTCTTTGGGCTCAATGGTTTGCACGAAATGAATTCATCCATGAAGGCAACCAACTAAGAGTAGAAGACATTATTACCATGATTGGGGCTCAGTGTCTAGATTATGCTTCTGCAAATACAAGTCTACGAAGCTCATCATTATCTACCCCTGTTCCTTGGAAGCCCCCAACCGCCCCGGTAGTCAAAGTTAATTTTGATGCCCGTTGTTCTCTAGCACAAAACAAAGCTTGGTCAGGTGTTGTAATTCGAAATGAGGCTGGGAAGATTATGGCAGCGAGTCGAAGGGAAATGTCACAGGTTACCTCGTATGCTTTCCATCGATTACAAATAGTCTTCTAACAATTGATATTTGATCATATGATTCATATCGGACTAGAGACATTACATGAGTTCCTTACTCATACCTTATCTCTTCATTTGCCTACTTGTTTCTGTTTCTTCTTCAGCACCACAATTGTGCTCTCAGCACGATGCTGCTGCTTTATTCCATTTCAAGTCTTCCTTTTCCCTCTATGGAGTTTTATCTGATTATTTGGCTTGCGAACTAGCCGGCTCTAAATATTATCCTAGGACGATTTCATGGAAGGAAGGTGCAGATTGCTGCTCATGGGATGGTGTCGCTTGTGATCCCTTAAATGGTCATGTTATCTCCCTGGACTTGACTTGCAGTTGGCTACGTGGCAGCATCCCTTCCAACAGCACTCTCTTCCTTCTCCGTCACCTTCGAAAACTCAATCTTGCCTTCAATGATTTCGGTGATTCCGATATGCCATCCGAGTTTGATCGGTTAGCTGGTCTAGAGTACCTCAACCTCTCTTCATCATCCTTTGGAGGACATGTCCCACCCCAAGTCTCCCACTTGTCTAAATTGGTTTCACTTGATCTGTCCGGGAATTATGCGCAAACACTCGACGAAAACACTCTGGAGGCACTTGTTAACAACCTTACTGTGGCGAGACATCTTTTTCTTGATAGAATCAACATGTCCTCGATTGATCCTAATCTCTTCATGAATCTATCGTCTTCTCTGA